CTTAAATACTACCCACTGAGATGTGTTGCGGCTGATGTTGAGCATTGAAGCGAGTTTGAGATAGGTGGAAGAGTAGCAGTTTTATTTAAATGCCTGCAGTTTTGAAGTAGTACATGTATGTGCGTCGCATTTAATATGTTATATAATAATTTGCTTTTCAGGCTCAGGAAGAAGCTGAAGCAGCAGAGCTAGCTGGAAAATACGTCCACTGCAATATATGTGCGAACGTATGTATACGCGCAGATAATACTGCTTACATCAAGGTATGCTCTTAGTTAGTACTTGTGCTTAATTAAAGGCAGCGGTTACGCTGACGGTGAGTTGGACACGTCTTCGGTGGAAGGGCATCATCATTGGTGTTAAGGCGTTGAGAGGCGTTCTACTGGCACTATTCCACCAATGATGCTGCTCTTTCATTTCATTTTTTTTCTGTTCTGCTGCGACATGTGCAACTCGTCTCCGTATCTTAACCGGTGTTTAATGAAGAGAGTCGAATTATTAATGGGACCCAGCTATTTTTATGTTTTTATAGAATCATTGTGCACTTCATGCAGTCTTAGAGGGACGGATGTTGTGCTCACTTTATATACACAGAGCAGCCGATCGGCCACAAATGTGTCCTTTTTGTACCACTGAGATGAATGTTTACAAGCCAACAGAGTTTATGGAACACATAAGGCGTGAGTTTAGACGACAATGTTCACTTATTCATTTTCAAAAAGCGTTTTCTCTTTAGAAAAACATGAAAAGAAGTCACGCACAATATATGATCGTTTTCTGTACCGATTTTTCCCGCAGTCGAAGGTTTGTACTCATTCTCACATCTTATGCTTGTAGTTTCACAAGTATCACAGCTCCTGAGTGTAAAACTTATGTTTCCAGATATTTTCTGAGCCTACCGCGGAAGACTCTCCAAGAGAGGAACATCAATGCAAAAGTGACTTCCTCATTCGTTGTCAAAGATCTAGCTGTTGTGGGATTGATCCGGTTCGTGGGAAATCCCTCTGGCTCTCTTCCCCGCCGAATTTCCTTCCCAAATCACCCCAATTGTTGGGATGTTGGGTTGGATGTTGGAACTTAAGAATATCTGAAGATATTTAATTTCCAGGTAATCGTGCTACCTTGTGATAAGGCCATTCCTCTTGCAAATGTAGACATCGCCGTCGTGAAGCACATGTTATGGCACGTACGAAATGACCCGTTTTTGGTAAGCTGGACCATACTTTTGGGCGCTTTCCCGCAGCATTTGTGCGGAAATTCGTGCTAGAATGTTTTCATTGAATATAATTGCGGTGCTGAAGGAATTGGACTCGAACGAAAAGGAGATCCTAACTCGTGCGCTGATGATCCGCTTATCCTGTACACAAATGCGGCAAGTGCTATTCATGGCGAAAAAAGTTGCGAAGCAGTTCATTAAGTGAGAAGGCTAGTTCATCATTATTATTATAAATTGTGGAATACCGCTCACATTTCAGGTACAAGGAAACAGACCTGATAAGGTACGTCCAGGATAAAATGGAAGAGATCGGTTGCGTTCTTTTCGGTTTCAACAAGGGCTTGGTTTTCCAGGTAAGAATTTGTGTAGGCTCGAAAGGTTTATTTCAATATTGTTAGTATCCAACAAAACATAATACAGTGAAATTCGCTCCTACGCTTTTGTACTAGATATGCCTTGAGAGATCCTCTGATGCTAGAATTTCCTCTATGAGTCAGAAACTGGATTGTTAGAGGTAGGGGTTACTAAAACTCCCGTAATTCCAAGTTTCTTATTCCAGCAGTTCCACTTGTCGGGGAGTGATTCCCGCGCCATCTGCTGTTGAATACAGTAGTTTAACGTGACAATTCCAAGTCTGAGCAAACAAGCGCTCTATAAGAGTAGTCTAGTAGCCATCCGTGTATCTTTTGTTTTGTCTTTAGAAAACTTTTCACGGCTGCGTTCTTTATACTCGTGAATGGATCTAGTCTATGTTGTGCAGCAGCGCATCTTGCATGCATTAAATAAGTAAATTAAGTACTAGGGACGTGACCCTTGTACGTTTTCTGCAGCACACAGGCATGCGCTGGTACCCTAGATTGCGTGCGGCGTGTGGGCAACTGAGAGCTGCGTGCGGGAGTTATTTTAGTAAGACTGCCCTTTGGCAGCGGTGGCTTGTTTTTAGGTCTTCGCCAAGAACCTACTAGACACCTTCATACTTATGGTCATTGTCTAGCAATAAGAAGTCCGGCATTTTTTATTATTTCTATTTCTGTCTATCACTGGGCTCCATTGGTGTGTGACATTTCCTTCAGTCTTCAATGAAAATTGCCACTTTTTATTTTTCATAGGCCGGGTTGTGTCAAATCTTACCTTGTTTTAGTGAAAGTGAGAATGAGAAACAATTTTTGTTTTGGTTTTTCGAAAGTTTTATATGTATTATCGACATCGAATTTAAGATGGTGTTTACTCGCCGCTTCGTGCGTGATCAAAGTGGCATGCAGCTTTACCCTCCGTGCGTATGCAGATTATGTGTGGACAAGAACTGCCTCGTTACTCGGTTCGTGGAATTGTTTCTTCTTATTTCGAGTCATTTTTATATCTATTGCTTGCATCTTGAAGCGCTATGTCCTAGCCGTTCTTGCTGCCACAAAGCTGTATCATCTAGGAATACTTGAGTGGCCGAACAATCATAGGCGATGGGCCAAGTTGCACAGACACACATAGGCTAAGTGATGAAGCCCAGTTCCCGGCATGCGGGGTATGCGCGTGCACTGAAATAGGTTGTTGAAGGCAAAAATTGCTATACAGGTCATATAATGGCACAGAGGCCGTGCAAAAATGCGTTTTGATGAGCAGAGGGGTGGCAATCAAGATGAGGGGGTTCACACGTGGTGTGCAGGCTTTCCTGAGTAGGCAGTGCTTGCCGCAGTAATCCATAATCGGTATCACGGCATCCAAGTACAGGAAACAACAATTCTGAAATTAGCGCTAGCAGTGCTGAGCGAGGCAAACGCACGCCTTCGGGCAAGCAACTCTCGATGGTATGTCTATTACAAAACTTGGGCCATATTCTGAATGATCTTGATTGTCGCGCGAGTAGATGGAGAGTAGCGGAATCTAAATTTGTGTTTGTTGCAGAAGCGATTGAAGACTGAAGTGGATAGAATAACTAAAAAGGGCACTATTGAGCTATTACAACCCCAGAGGGGGTGAGATGGATCAAAAATTTTTTTCGCTGAAACTTGCGCTAGGGGGGTTATCGAGGCTCCTGATCACGAATATGACCTTAGTTTTGGCTCAATTCTCTCTAGGTGACGCTCGAAATAGATGTCATCTAGGCGCTCATCCAGTAAGGGGGGCATCAAGTGGCTGCCCTCACCCCCACCCCCCTAGACTGCCTACACTCCCCCTGGCACACAGGTTTCTCGAAGTACGGGACCCCGTGAGCCAGGGGGAGTGAAGCCAGTTCAGGGGGGTGGGGGTGAGGGCAGCCACTTGATGCCCCCCTTACTGGATGAGCGCCTAGATGACATCTATTTCGAGCGTCACCTAGAGAAATTGAGCCAAAACTAAGGTCATATTCGTGATCAGGAGCCTCGATAACCCCTATCCACAAGTTTACAGCGAATTTGGTGAGAACACCCTTGGCGCCAATTGGCGCCAATTTGGCGCCAGCGCCAAAAACTAAGGTCATATTCGTGATCAGGAGCCTCGATAACCCCCCTAGCGCAAGTTTCAGCGAAAAATTTTTTTGATCCATCTCACCCCCTCTGGGGTTGTAATAGCTCAATAGTGCCGAAAAGTAGTAAATTGCTATGAATGGGCTGAAAAGCGGAGGAGTTGATCAGCCAAAAGTTCTCAGTTCTGTTCCAGGACGTCTTGATCAGAAGAAGTGAAAAATGAGACCAGAAAAAAGTAGGTGTAGACCAGCGAAAGAGGGCAAGTCAAATGCTCGCGGTAAGCGGTGCGCGCACCTTTTGCCTCACTTCCAATCGCTGGAGTCGAGTATTATGCATACGTTAGTGTATGGGCCTGAATTGCTGGAAATAATAATTCAGTACGACATTTAGAGTGATCGTCGGAAACGTGCCTTCGTTGCTTATGCTCACCCGGTGGTTCTACACATCTTGGAACATTTATCGGCGGGACAGCTGCCTCAACATGTATGTGAACAAGATCGGAGTTTCGTTGGGCAACCGATAACGCATTAGGAAAACCGTACCAAATTGCAATGGAATTCGTCCTTTATTCAGGTTACATCAGAAACAGATCTCATGAGGTGGGAGAGCGCATGCGCGATGGAAGGGCTACGGTTCAAGAACGTCTCAATGGCGATAAAACACGTACTCGATGCCCATAATGATCTAGTGGAATTGAGGTTCATTGCTTATTAATATTATTTATTACTTTCGGTATTTCTCTTTACATCTCAATTGTTGTGATACTTCAGCGCCTTGGATATGATGTTGGAAGATATGGGTATTCATCAGCTTTTCCGCAGTGCAATTTCTTCTGCATTGGGTGATCAGGCATGGCAATTAGAGGTTAGCTCAGCTTCTTAACCTCGTTTTTCATTTTCTATTGATTTTTTGTTTCCTTTATATTCATCTGTTCACATTCCTTGCATTTAGGAGGCACTAGGGTTTGGTGCATACAAAGCAAAAGTTTGTCCCAGACCTGATTTTTTCAATGAAACCGAAACAGGTGAGTGGATCTGTTTTCGGGAGGTGTCGATTATTCTCATAAGTGTTATTTCAATTCAGAAAGTATTCATCGACCGGAATGCACTCGACCATGGGATACATCAACACAATTGTGTGCATGCTCTGAACCAGTGCCCACACAGTCGGAAGCAAGTGCTTCGGGAGCTGACTCGTCTTCGCTCCATCCGAGGACTAGAATGAGAGCGGAGTAAGTAAGAACGGGCTACAGTGGTGGTCGTTTACGCTTACTAAGATTTGGCAATGTTCTTGTCCTGCAGGACGGACATTGCGTGATATGCCAAGCTTTCTGCTGACATTGTTACGATGCCTGAATTTTGGGATATTCAGATGAACAGGGAAGAAGCTTCCTTGCAACTCCTTCTTTCACTGCGCAAAGTGAGAATGATGAACCACAACAAGAAATGCGTTCAGGCACTTGCAAAATTTCATCATAAATTCCATCGGTTTGTTTTCAAAACTATGATGAATTCTATTTGTTACAATACCACATACCTAAATTTTTTTATCGTGAAGTTGATGAGAAGAATTGCTACTAGCATTTTTTAACGAGAAACGAATAGATCTCCCTCAGTCTGCACGTTGAAGCTTTCATTCTTCTTATCCTGTCTTCTTTCTCCTCTCACCTATCTTGATTCTGAAACGCGGAGCATCGCGCGGACTTGATTTCGACTACAAATAAAGCGAATGAAGAGTGCTCCAGCCGGCTGCCTGTGTCTCCTTCTTGAAATGCGCCATGAGCTCTACTACCATGCATAAGCGTAGTACCAGTTGAATGCGATTTGGTCTTCACAGTTAATTGCGGGGCCAGCTGATGTGCAAGTTAGGGTTCCATCCTTCCTCGCGTGTATGCTACCAATTAAACGGCTTTGGAGGGATCTAAGAATTGTTAGGCATCCGAAACATGCTTCGAGAAACACACGCTGTTTGTATGCACGCAGCTGCGCACACGTGAATTTATGGCTTATCGTATAGTTTTGGTAACGCACAACAATACGACGACGTTCAGTAAAACGAAAACGTTAGCACTCCCAAAATATTTTCGGAATTCATATAGTTCGACCTAAAATGACTCAATCTTCGTGCAAAAATTTTTCCTGTTCCTGGAAATGAGAGACCTTGATGTTGTGTTATCGAATTGTTGCGACATTTGAATTACGAGTTCACTTGATAACTAAATTTGCTTGCCTTCAGTTGCTCAGACGACTTCCCTACCAGCGGTCAAACTGGAAACGGAAGAATCTGGAGCTGAACGGAGCGGTTTTGAGAACTCGATTGCTGCCCTTGCGGAAGGGCTCGCAGCACCGTCGACAGACCAGTCGTCGGCTGATGCAGGTGCCGACGCATCTGATAACAGGATGGCAAACTCAGTATGTTTCATTGCGATATTTATCTAGTTGTTTCGATCTAGCCTCATAAAGGGCATTTGAAGGGCTCATCATGTAAAAATATTTGTGAAATGTACTCCGTACTCGAGGTTCATGTAACAACTTTCCAGAAAAAGAAGCGACCAGATCGTTTCAAGCGAGCAAGGCAGAAGCGAGTCAAGGAAATAAAGCGAGAGGTCGATGGCATGCTTGTTCCTCAGCGCAACAAAGCTCTTCCTCTGAAGGTAATTTAGGGCTTCGGTTTTGCCTTGTTTGGTTCGGGTTTCCATTGGACCATGGAGAAGTGTTCCCTCACTACTTCGGGCTGTTGTACTGTTGAATACAAAAAACACCAATGTGCCTAAAATCCATTTCGAATAATGCCTGCCTAATGTCAGATTTCGCTGTTGTTTAGCTCTTTTCAAGTTTTTGTTGATTGACCTGTTGAATTCTATTTTCGATGAGATAAGGGCTCTAGCTTCCTTTTATAAGTGCTCGCGTTTGTTACCTTCAGTGGCGGTCAGAAATTCGATAACGATTTTCGTGGATTGTTTTTCCTCGCTTAGCCATTTCGTTTCAACACTGTTTTGGACGTGTTTGTTAGCCTCTTAGAAGTCTGAATCTTGAGGTTTTCAAGTTTTTGAAACATTAAATAAATTCATTTAATGCCATCTT